AATTATGAGATTTAATACAGATGAGATATGTCCATTAACAACGCCATTAGCAACGTACTATACAAAACCTCATAAAAAGGATGAAATTATCTTAAGTGGTTCTTTTTACCGTTATTTTTATCATTGAAGATCTGTGTAACGTATAGTCTACGAAACCAAGGCAAATTAAGACAAAAATCACCTGAATTATGGACTGGAACTGTTGCTGAAGATAATTGAATTTTTTCCATTACAGTGTATAACAGTCATCATATCATATTATTATTAGTATTAGTATTAGTATCAGTACTAACATTATTAGTAGTAACTCCATCAGTAAAGTAATTAATAATTCCATTTTTAGACATTTTCCTGTGAAAGCAAGCTCTAAATATTATTCAATTATGAAGACTCCCAAAATATGTAAAAACATGCATCATAAAAATTGCCAATCTCACTGGAACAACATTGTTCGGTGGACATATTATAATTAGCATATATTTAAATGTAATAAAAAAGTTATTACATAACTATCCTAGACCTATATATAACATTCTCAGTTAGGTTTTTTGTTTAAGATTTTTTGATGTAACCACTTTATCATAGAATAATGTGAAAAAATCAACAATCGTCATTTCAAAACTAACCGATATAATTTACTACTTTATTTTGACAAATATGAATTAAAACAATAGTTGCAATAGTACTTAAACATAGTGTTACCTAAAAGGGAAGTCCATGGGGTCAAAGCTCCACCATTTTCTGACTCCCCCTAGACGAAAGCTCATGTTTACTAATGCTATTAAATAAAACGTTTCATTATATTTTCTCAAATGTGCCCCACAGAATTGGACACAAAGCCACTGAAAGTTGAAAGACTGAAGAAGAGAAAAAAAGCGTTTCTTGTACCATTATGTTTAGTAGCTTCTACTGACAGCGATACTTTCCTGACTTTTTGTCGACACGAAACTGGTTTTCTGAGAAGAGACACACTGATCTGGGTATAACTTTTACGAGGACAAAATAAGTTAAATATCGCAGTTCTTCTATTTTAAATTAATAAAAAAAACAAGTAGATCTCACTTTTAAAATACTCCATATTTCTAAAACTTTAGTGTCCAAATAATATTGATTAAAGTTCTAAAATACCTTTTCGGCTACATAATGTACTACAATATAGAGATAAAGTACTATCACTAACAAAAGTTGTAGCACTCCATGTAACTGCGATAATGTTAGGCCATAAGGTTTGGACTCTGCTTGACATGGCAACTTAAATTATTTTGCACTTATATTTGTGATTCCTTGTTTGTAATATCAGTCATCAAAATAGCATGAAAGAGAATGAATCAGACTTAAAATGCATGTACACGATGCTCTAGTTTCATATTCTCGCTACTCCTTCACATTAGATCAAACGCTTTTCAACACACAATACATTTTTATATTATGAATCAACATGTGACTTTTTTCGTGATATTTCGGAACTTCAACTAGAAAGATATCTACAAAATAGCTAACAAAACAGTTCAATTACTTTTCATTTCATTCTGTGTGATTATTGATCCTAACATAACATTCGTAGCTGTATCTAATCCGAAAAATGATTTTATATATATATATTTCAGCTGTAGTGTTACGGCGATCAGTAATTTCTCAGAAGACATTACAGACACATGAGTTAAAATCAAGTAGCTGAGTAGGCATTTGCCTCACCGGAATAAATCAGGCAGACGAGTTTTCTCTACGAGTAAGTCTAAAAACTTGTTTTCGTAAATGTCTCATGCGTACGGTTGAAATGGCGTTTGTGAACGAAGTAACATTAAAAGGAAACCAATAAGTTTTATTTTATATTTATCTAATAAATCTGTATAGACTATAGGGTGTCTCGGGTCAATTTTAAATGACAATTGTTTTAATCTTCTTTTTTCCCTTTTCTTTTTATTTTGTTTATTACATTTGTTTATTAAAAATGGTTTATCATTTCGAATAAATTGCTCAAATTGATAAATTAAGTTCTTTAATAAATAAATCTAAAAAGAAAGGAAGCAATGTAGAATGATACAATTGTGTTTGAAAATTATCTAGAGACAAGATGTAGTTTCAAAACCATACGTTTCTCTAGGTTAATAGTTTAAGTTAATTATAATTTATCTTGCAAGTTGTACAGTTGTTAAGTTGCTAGGAATTTAATAATAAAGAGAATTAGTAATTTTAAGAAATAACGCGTTCTGTACGAAGGGACCATGATTCAAGAAGCACTGACTCGTAGCGTATCGTTTATAGCGTCCGAGGTTAAGAATGAAGGCCACATGGGCTTTTTCTGTAAATAAATATCCCCCAACTTTTAATATTTCAAAACTGTTTTCAACCCTGATTTCAAAACTGTTTTTCTTAACATCAATTACATTACTAAAATAGTACCTCGAATATATTATATATTTACCTCAAATGGTGGTGAATATCTTTAGATTTTATTAGTTTTTATAAGAATGGATACGTTCGCCTGTTGGATCAGCTACAGCTGCGGTGCCATGTTCTTCGGTTCCCATATCATACTGTGCTCAGAAAGTAGGCTTGCGGAAAGTACCTGTGTTTGTTCGCTAGTGTTTACTTGTGTTTACGATTTGTGGTTTTAATCGCGTACAAGTTAAATGTAAGTTCGTTTAATTTTCTTCGTTTTGGTTTTTTGAATGTGATAAATTTATTAATTTGCAATACTTTAAATTTGATTTCTTTTTTCTTTTCAGTCATATTTTAGAACGTAGATCCACCAATAGTAAATGGTCGGAGCGGTTAAGTACTCCATAGTTGGGAAAAACAAATGGTTATTAATGTTTATAACTACTTAACTAAAATTATATTTTCGAACGCAATTAGTACTCACTACCTACCGAAAGATGACTGTCCGGCCTCCCGGTTCTAGGCGGCTCGTTTTCCCGTGAATCAAATCACGTTTGTTCCCGTGGGCCCGACTTACGTTGTCGCCAAAATAATTTTAAATATTTTGTTCGGTAATCAAAACGTATTATTTCTCTAATGTTAAAAAGGGAACAGAAGGCTTGGCCTTTTTGCAACTGCTTGCTGATGTCTTGACGTTTGGATATCGTATTGGAATAGTGGTGTACTTTAAAATTAATATTTCTTCCTGATTTCTTGTGATATTTCGAAGCACGAAGGAAGTGAGAATCTTAACAGAAACGTTCGTTGAGAATCAGAGTCTCATAAGAATAGTTTTAGATTTGTAGAAAGAAAATACATGCTTTCTTGAAATTGAAGAGTTTCGAGTCAAACTACTTTAGCGCTCCGCCCAATTGCGGAATTCGTCGTCTCCATGGAGCGCGTAGCTTTCGATTCACACAGTACAGCAGAAAAACGCCACGTTTACTATCACCATCGTCGTAAGAGACGGAAATACATTCTTAAACTCGGACGCGCCATGGCGCTCTGTTTTCCTCACAGGATTCCAGGGTCGAAATCTCGTCTATGGAAAATGGTGTGTGAATGGTGTGAATGTGGTGAAATTCTCCCGTATCACTCGCCTCTCAATCCTCCATATAATCAACCATTATCCATTTCATTAAATAAGTGGAACTCTATAAAACTCAAGGGAACAAAAGGGACAAAAGGCACAAACGGGACAAAATAACACAAAGAAAAAAATGGAAAACAGGAAAGAAAGTAAATATGGATAGAAAGAAAAAAACGGCAGAAAGAACAAAACGTCAGTATGGCTGTCTGAAAAATAGTGTATGACACACGTGGTAAGAATGCTTTTTATTTTGCTTGTAGGCCTGCGCCACTCGTCCAATCGGCCTCGTGTTGCAACCTTATCTACTCGCAAAATAAAAGATCTCTTCCACCACTTGTATCATAAGTAACTATTTTCTACTTCCTGAACGACCATAGAAAATGCCTTCGTTCTCCGAGTCTTTTGCGCGCATCGGACCCGTTCCAGAGCACTGTGCGTCGCGGTGCGGTGCGGTTACTGATGGCCGATGGCCGACGGCAGAGGCCTCCGCGAGGAGGAAAGGCCGCGCAGCAAGGCCACCTGGGAGGGGGAGGGGAGGGGAGGTGCAGCAGAGGCGCAGCGGGCGCAGTCGGCCGTGCGCAGCGCCGCGCGTCGGTTGTAGCGACTGCGCCAAGCGCCGTCTCCAGCGCCCTCGTTCTCTACGCGCCGCGCGCCAGCCCGTGTGCAACTGGATGGCGATTCTCGGTGTGTTGGCAACGGATCTGTCTCGGAGCATTCAGATTTTCGGATCTGAATATGTTCGGTGTGTCAAGGATCCGTGGTGAAATTGCATTGCTCGTTGTGTTAACCATTGCATTCTCGGTGTCTCGTCTAGAACGTCGCTATTTCTTTCCTTGACGTGTGTGTGTGTGTGTGTGTGTGTGTGTGTGTGTGTGTGTGTGTGTGTTTGTATGTTCGTGTGGTTTTGCGAAGGACATCGTAAAGTGCTGATGAAATATAGATGAACTTTCCTTTTTCCACTTTTGCACTATTCACTAACCAACTGCGAACTAACTTAGCTTAAGGATCCATTCTGGGGCCAGCTGCAACAACCACAGCTCAACTTAGCAAGAAGCATCCACTTTACCTCCGAATCAAGCGCCGAGAAAATGTGATGAGTCGATACCGTGTTTCTAAAAAGCGCCTCTGGTATGTCCTAATGTCAGTGACAGTGGCTTGCGTGTGCGGCTCACATTAAAGCATCTAGTGTCTAGTGTGTGGTGTAGTGGTGCCTGAAAAAAAGATAAATGTTTATCGTCTATCCAGGGACGTAAAGCAATTTCTTTACTCTCCAAACCACCCGTATAGGGAGCCCCTCACGTTTTCTAGTATCGAGTGTGTCATTCTCGACACATTGATGGGTGTGCCGTGATGGCTGCAGAGTAATTGGTGATGGTGGGCGGAGTGGGCGTGCGCCTTGCAGCAAAGAAACCCAACCCCCGAACCTGTTGAGTGGCGTGGTGACCAGAGAGCAGTGATGGTAGGCGAGAGCGCTCGCTGAGGGCTGAGCATGGGCGCGTGGCGAGGCGCGTGCGTGGGCGGGGCGCTGGTGTTGTGCTGCGTGGCCGCCGCGCGCGCCATCGTCGGGGGCTCGGAGACACAAGCGACGCTGCGCGACGTGAGCAAGTGCTGCGAGCGGGGCTTCCAGCTGCACGCGGTGGCCGCCCGCTGCGTGCCTCGCGCCGGCGGCGCCGCCGTCCCCGCCGACGCCGACAAGTGGGAGCTGCTGCGCCCGCCCATGGGCGACGCCGACGCCTACTGGCTGCCGCCCGCACTGCGCGAGGGGCCGGTCTTCGCCAGCTACGACGCCCTTGACACCGCCCACCACGCCGACAAGCTGCCTTCCTTCAGGTCAGTCGTGTTCAACCTGCGTCTACTCGTAATGCGTAGACTACCTACGTAATACAAAAGTTTCTGTTTTGCCGTGGAGTGAAGGTAGGCCTACTTATGTTCAGAGATCTGCGCAATAGTTCTGCGTCAAATGCGTATTTTAATACTAAAGAAAAAGCGCAATTGTTCAGAAAACAAAAATATCTAGTGGATCTTGTAAAAAATCATATATGTGTGAGTAATGTAAATCATTATAGGATTTAATAGTTTTTATATATTAGTTTGTTTTTTATTTTATTTATACCCATGCATTGCCACATTTTTCTTAACTGCTGCTCTGTCTTTGTGTTCTTTGAATGTCTTTTTTATCCTTTCTTGTTAATATTACGTATACGTAGTTTAAATGTTAAACAGAGTTATGAGACCCATGGATAGATCGTAACACTGAAGTCTACGGAACGACTCTGTTGCAGGTTACGCACCCTGGGCTACTCCCAGCGAGTGGAGGCGAAGCCCGAAACAGTGGAACGCTTCCTCAAGGTCAACTCCACTGCCCGGCGCTTCGAGCTGACCGCCTTCAAAGGGAGAGTGGGGCTCAGCACGGTGCGGAGGCAAACGTTCTGCTTCGACGCGACGGACAGCCCGCACATGCCCCACGTCATTTTCACCACTCTCGAGCTGCGGTCGGTGCCCAAGTGCTGCGCCAAGGGGTACCAGCTCAACGCGCAAGCGGAGGCGTGCGAACAACGCGAGAAAAGGGAGAAAAACGAGAACGCGACCGAGGAGATCATCGATCCCTTCGTCGACCCAAAGGTCGCGTACTGGCTGCCGCGGAAGATGCTCAACACTGTGATCGTGGCGGTGTACCGCAAGCAGCAGCAGCTGCTACGTTGGAACGTAGCAGTGGACGCCAACTCCGTGGTGGGGCTGAACCTGGACGACGATGACGACTACGACGACTACGAGGATGACGAGGCGGGCCAGCCCAAAGCGGCTGCGGGCGGCGGTGGGGACGGCTCCAAGCCCGAGTGGGAGCTGCGCGAGGACGGCGCAGGCTACTCCGTGCGCGTGCGAGGTCCGTCACGCACCGGCAGCCGCGTGGAGGGCGTGACCTCCGAGTTCTGCTTCGACACGACGGCGGACGGGCCGCTGCCGCACCGGATGATGCTGGCGCGGCTGTGGAGCCTGCCCAAGTGCTGCGCGCGCGCCCAGCAGCTCAACGCCAACGCCACGGGCTGCGAGGCGCGGGCGGACGCGCGGGCGGCGGCGGCGGCGGGCGACGCGGGCGGCGGCGGCGGCTTCGAGGACCTGAGCGCCGTCGTGGCTTCCGGGGCGCAGCACTGGGTGCCAGTCAGACTACGCTCCATGCAGGCCCTGCTGGTGGAGTACCTGCGCGAGTCGGACCGCAAGTGGATGTCCGCGCGGCAGGTGATCCCCGCCGACAACGAGCTCCTCTGGCAGCTCGACTTGGCGGGAGACGCGCCGAGGGTGATGGTGCTGGCCGCGGACGCCGCCAACCACTCGGTGCGCTCGCGCGCGTCGGTGTACTGCTTCGACAGCAGGGGGGCGGACGAGCGCGTGCTGCTGACGGTGGTGTCGCAAGTGAACAAGTGCTGCCGCAAGGACGAGCAGCTGGACGTGCGCGCCGCGAAGTGCGTGGACCGCCTAGGAGTGGAGGACGGCGGCTCTGAAACGGGCATCGTGGACGCCGAGAACCCGGAGGCGGCCTTCTGGATACCTCAGCAGCTGCGGAACAACCTCATCCCGGTGCGCTACGACTTCGGTCTCATGGAGAAAGGGGGCGTGGTGTTCGATGCAAATCACGGCGGGCGCTGGAGGATCGACTTCAACGCTAATGGCTCCGTGCTGTCCCTGTTGTCGTCGACGACGTTGTCTGGCACCAGTCGGGCGGTGAGCACCGACAGGTTCTGTTTCGACGCCATCGAGAAGGACGGCCCGGTGGCGCTGATCGCCGACGTGTGCTACGAGCAGGGCTTTAACTGCTTCTTCAAGTGCTGTCCGTCGGGCAAGCTCCTGTCGGTGGAGGGCAAGTGCACCGACAACAGCGGACGCGACTGGTCCCCGCGCGTGTCGGCCGCCGCCAAGTTCCTCAGCAGCGAGGGGCTGTACACGGCCAAGATCCTGTCGAACCCCATCTGCGGCAACGCGTCCTTCCACGCAGACCGCACCCCGGCCTCGCCTGAGGAGTTCGCGGCGCGCCTGCAGGTAGGGGCACTACCATCTCCTTGACCGCTTTGACTTGACCCGCTCCTACTCGGGACAGTCCCTTACACTTTCTCGCCACAGAGTTGAGAGAAAGTGAAGGAATTCAGCTGCTAAATTTAGAAAACAAAATCCTCCTTTTGTGCGTGCTTGATACCAAAAAATCGAATGACGGCATCCCGTCTGTCGGTCAGTGAACAACACTAGTGTCGCAATATGGCATTCCGGCCCTCGCGACACGCTGCCGCAGGCGAGTGACCCAGTTGCTAGGGGTAATCCCTCTCCCCCTCAACTCGCGACATAGCGGCTCAGCGAAACGTTCAATCAATTTTAACCAAAACTGACATTCCTAAATCAATGTGGCTGATGAATTAGAAATAGGAGTTTTAATTTTTGTATTACTTTACGTGAAGCTCCTGGGACAATTTAAAAAAAATGGCTCCATCGTGTCTATATTAAGTGTTGGATAGTGTAAAGAACATTTAAAACAATGGTTCAAGTCTCATATTTGTTGAAAACTCTGATTTTTCGAAAATTGCAAAACTTTAAAATGTTTTTGGGGTCTTCTTAGAACTAATATATTAATGGTAGAGATTTTTCCCTTGATAAAATCTGTTCCTTAAAGAGAGATTTTGAAATATGTTCATGTACAATTTTTCAAAAATTTAAGAACTTTTCGTGTAATTTTGCGAGAAAATATTGGCGAGAGAGTATGAACTGTTTTAGCACCAATAGTTGCATTTCAGGTCTCGTCTTTTTGTTACTGAATAGTGCGACATCCAAACAAACAATATTGTAGACAGGCTGTTTTCGTGATTTTTCTTAAATTTAATTGATTAGAATGTACTCTTTAGACGTAGAGACAATTTAAAGAATAATTTATGATAAAAGTGACATAACAACACTGAAATATTCTAAGACCTTGTATCTAAGGGCTTGTATTTATTAATTGAGGATTTACACCGTCTTCTCCTTCTTCTTCAATTGCTACACTTAGTTCGAGATACGAGTCAGATAATCGAAAGTATTCTGACTCGTATGAATTATGCAAGCACAACAATACGAAAAAACAAAATGAGATATTGTTTTGACTTTAATCATCCGATATCTGAAAGGTTTATTAGATTGTCGCTTAGAGCCCATAAATGATATCATACGCGGAACCGCAATGTCCCGGGAGCCTCTGGGCGAGTTATTAAGATCAGTCAGTTGTCGCTGGCATCTTTGCGCGAGAGAGCTCAGCTCACAACGAGGCCCGCAGCGAGAAGATGGATCCAAGAGGTGTGACTCACAGAGGCGTGACTAAAGGGCTAGGAATGGTAAAACATGAGAAAATTATGTTAATAAGAAATCTGAGAAACCCTTTACAAATAAATGGATATGTTTCTTTAAAATTCTTTCTTATGCATTTATATTTATATTCATTAAAAATATTTAAACTTCCTTTTCGTTGATATACATATGCAACTATATCTCGTTCCTGTTTCACAAATGGACACTTTCCTTCTAGGGAAAGGAACGTCAGTACCGCTTCTCAAAGACGTTTTTCTGCGCGGACTTCCGTGAGGGCGCGGGCGCGGGGGCGGGGGCGGGCGAGGCACTGGCCTACTGCGTGGCGCCTCCCATCGCCCCCACCTACGAGGCGGTGCGGCCGCTGGGCGTGGCGGCGGTGGCGCTCCTAGCGGCGGCGCTGGCGCTGCTGCTGCGCGCCCCCGACACGCGCGCATCCACGCACGGGCGTGCGCTCGCGTGCCACGCCGCCTGCCTGCTCGCCGCCAACGCCACTCAGGCCGCCTGGTTCTTCCTCGACCGCGACGACGCCTACTGCAAGTACTACGGTGAGGCTCACGTACACACACCCACACACCCACACACGCACACGGGCGTGCGTTCGCGTGCCACGTCGTTTGCCTGCTCGCCGCCATATTCACATACACACACCCACACTCTCACCTAAACACTCCCACACACGCACTCACGCCTACGCACACAGACATACACACGCTTCCACACACACGCTCTCACATGCACGCACGCACGCCCTCAGACACACGCACGCCCTCGGACACACCCATAATACATGCTCACTTCAACGCACACTCTCATATATTCAAGCACTCGCAAGCACACAAAATCACATGTACAAACTCACATGTGAGTGTGTACACGTTAGCTCTGTGTGTGTGTGTACACGTGCCCTCTCAAAAACACATCCCATATACGTTACACATATATCATATGCTTACAGTACACATCTCTCATACATCATCTCTTCATCTCATACATAGACGCCACGCGTAACACACACTGCCCATTCTTAGCACAAACACTATATACACAATATACACATGCACACACACACACACACACACACACACACACACACACACTACAAATCATTCATTTCTCAGACTTAGTATTGTACATAATTTTACTTGTAAACTAATATGCTTTTGTTCCATAATATAATGTGCTAATGTTTTCGTTTAGTGATCATTAACTTTTTTATTGTTTTATTTAAAAATGTTGCAGAACAATGTTTTTCAGAAATTTATTTTATTAATGGCTCCCCAGATCCTTCTTCACACAGCGATGTAACTACTAAAGAAATTTTCATTGATGATTTGATAAGTTGAAACCCCATCTCACATTGTTCAGTTAAAAATATCACCCACAAAAATGTGTCTCTTACAAAGGCTGGGAATGAATACGTTAATGAAAATGTTAATTAGACAATTACTCTGCCTTCGGTTAGAAAGCGCTGCATAATTTTTTAAAATACTTTTTTTCTGTTCAATGTTACGTTTTTGTAACTTTACCATTACTTGAACTCGGGGAACGCTTCTGGATATTAATTATACGCACAGACTATAAAGTCATGTTTCGTTTCTTCAGCGTACGCCATCTACTTCTTCCTGGTGGCGGCAGGCACGTGGTTGAATGCCATTTCCATCAACCTGGCCAGGGGCTTCAAGTGAGTACCTCTTGGCTTAATTCCGAATATTTTGTTAGTAATTTAACTAATATACAACAAATGTTTGAAAAAATGTAGATAAAAAGATTCTTGGAGGAAATTTCATTTTTATCTTTTATTAATCGATTGAAAAATATTTTCTGCACGTCAACTCTATGTCCGTTAGTCCCGTTAGTGTAGTGGATATTTTTATTTATGTGGCAGTATTTGTCTGTCGTTGTACGTTGGGATCTGGCGCCGACATACACATCGGCTTTTAGACGATTTCCTCCTACAGGTATCGCCCCAACTGGTAACCGCCCTAGGTGGAACTATCTCTAAGCTCTCTACAGGATTTCCGACATATGTGGCAGTGTTGGCATGTGTGTGTTTGTGTGGGTAAGTCGGAGGATAGGACAAGGAAGAGAATGGAAAGATCGCGCGCGGTCTGTGACCCATTTGTTACGATTCTTCTCTGACTTTCACCTAGTAATAATCGGATAAATTACGAAAACTGCCGATCAGTACAGCTGGCCGCTAGAATTCTTCTGTAACAGTGACTGAACTCGTCCTAGCTCAAAATCTAGTGTCGAAAAATCCTCTACTGTCGGGTATCGAACCCTAGGACCTCCCAGTTAGCCACTACAGCAATGCCAATTTCTCTTCTATTGTTGCAAAAATGTTGCACACACTAATTTTTCTAATCGAAGGCAGCGACACACAGAAGGGAATGTAATCGAAACATGAGGTATGGCAAATTGCGAAGTAACGTTAACAAATACTTGCATGTTTCGGCCAAAATTGAAACTGACGCATTGCTTTTCGATTCCCCCCTCCATAGACACCCTTTACATAACTGAGTGTGGTTAGTTTTCTTTCAATTTCGTCATGCATTGGACGTTAGGGGGATAAGGCAGTATAAACCTTGGACAAGGAAATTAGTAGTATGATTAAAATATAAATAATATAAGTAATATACGTACTGATTTGAAATGCGCACATAAATGTAAAGAAAACTATGTTGCCACCGACTCTGCGCGAACTGTCTGCGGTTTTGTTATATATCCAGGAAGTCGAGAAAATTACAAAGACAATGAACAAATTTCGATTTTGACTGAAAAGTGTAAATATTTGACTGTTATTTTGCCTATTCCAATACTTACTGTGTCACTAATTATAACAATATGGCACTCTGAAGGCTTCAGAGAAGAAACCACCCACCATTTGAGATTTGCTATTCACATGTGTTATGGAACATCAACCTCTCTGATATTCTTCGAATGTAAAGAACTATTGTACTGTGTATTCGATTATACTGTACTTAACTGTTGCAGAATTTATGAAGACGGCTTAGGTTCAAATATATTATTTATTGTAGTATTATACTAGAGTATTTTCTGTGTTGATTGTCAGCAGTGTTCGTGCTAATTTTTAGAAAAAAACATTTTTGATGTTTTGTTCAACAGCATTTTTACTCTTGAAGTCCACTGAAATTCATTAGTAATTTCTATTTCTTACAGCCATAGCTGGCGTGGATGAATTATTTTAATATATTGATAATTATAATTTTAAGGTATTGATTATGTCAATATGGTGAAATCATAGATTTATTTATTGATCATCACAGGAACCCGAAACAAGAAATAATCGGTCAAACTCCAATTTAAAAAATATCACTTCAAAAATTCGAAACGGATGTCACTTCGACACCTCCGTACTCTCTGGCGCGCGCCTTCGTTCTCCGTTCTAACAAATCACCTCGTTTATTGTCACCTACCACTGTTCCCTACGCGAACAGCTTTGCCAAAACGTGTTCCTTCTTCGTGGTTTTTACGCCACTTATCACTTGTTTTATGAATCCTGCTCATTAATTTCGTACTTTCTTTTGTAGTAGGCGTACGTGAATAAATAAAATTAATTTTCATTTATTCACACACTATTTTAATGTTATGCGAATGTAAATAATGATTTCATTTATTTACTTTTCCTCTCTTTTTTATACTAATTTTTGCAGTATCGTTTATTAGACGATGACACTTAGTGGCTACATTGCTTTTTTTGGTTCGGATTGTTTTCCAAATTTATAATATTCGTACTTGATCAGAATATAGATCATTTAAATACGTTGTAAAAAATTATTATGAGTTGCAAAGCGATTTATTAATTTATCTGAAAATTTCCAATGAGCGAATGTAATTTAGTTAGGCTATTCCATGAATGAAGTTATGTTCAACAGTGTTTCATAATGCACAAATTTTATTTGTTACAAGGTTTGCGCACAGTTACATTTACACATTTGCGCATTTAATGCGTGCCGCATAATGCATTTAGGATTGATCAGCAAAGAGAAGTTGGATAAACGGATATAAAACGGTGTTTTTAAAGACATCGCCTTGATTGGGCAGTGCCAGAAGTATTGTTAAAGCTTGTATTTATTGTCGTGTATGGAATAGTCCCTGTGAAGCATTTGATTCAATGTGTGACTTTTTATTTTTCAAGTTATTTGAACAAAAAGACAAGCAACTTGTAAATTCAGCACCACGAAATAATACAGAAATCATTAACTCTGGGGATGTATAGATGAAAAACTGGGATCAAAAATGCAATGGAAACTACTGGTTTTGTTATTGAATAAGCTGTTTTCAAAATGTTTCTTAGTAGAGTGTATAATTAAAAAAAATACTAAGTACGTTTTGCCATAAAATAATACTCTTCAAATTCTGTAAGATCAGACAAGATCCAAACGCAGTGTTTCCCTTTTTTCCGACTGATAGTTTGAGTGCTCAAGATATTACTGCTTGAATGCAAACAATGCTGTGGGAATTTCCCCACCGCAGTACGCAAGGGATTCGAGCACTTCTGAAATTGAAGCCGGTAATTACATGCCGTCGACCTCAGCCGGATGTGAGCGGGCGCGCCTCTGCGGCCTCGACGTACAGACGTCCTTCAACAGGAGCCGAAACATTTCCTCAAATTGAGATTGAAACCTTCAATTTGATTATCGCCGTGGATGAAGGAAGATATATACCATACTTTTTGAAATGTGGGGCTTTGGAAAAGTTTTATTAAATACTAGATATTTACGTTTCCTCGATATTTAACAAAATTCTGGATTAGCATAATCCGTCTGCTCTTCCCACTCACCCTGCAGTAACACCCCGCTTCGCCCAGCCACATGAATTTTGCTTAATGCGCATGATTTACATATTGTCACACTTTCCCTGAGAGAAAGAAAAAGAGAAAGAGAAAAATTGTAATCGTGCGTCAGAAAACGGCGAATTTTCTACACAAAAACTCTTATTAACAGGCCTTGGTAAATAAAAAGTGGATAAACCCAGTTGCTAAATACAGAAAACAAATTCCTCTAATATTTGGGGTAGCTAGAATCTATGTTTTGTGGGTCCTTGATAACGAAAAATTGATTCTCGGCAAAATGTCTATGCGTCAGTCCGTCCGTCTGTGCACACGTCATTGCATAAATCATACACCCGATTTTCTTCAAAATTCAAATTCCCTAATCGTACGAACTGATGTTGCATGTCCCTGAATTTGAAACCGAAATTTATATTTTGGGGGGTACTTTACATGAAGGCCCTGGAACGTTTTCAAAATTTAAAAAAATGGCTTAAATTTTTTATTAATGTTTGTGTTGATGCAAAGAACGTGTAATAGATTTTTTGAATAATGGAAAATTTCAAAATTGGAGATCAGGATTTTTGTGTCAGACAATGCCGTGTGTACAAAATTAGCTCTTTAGAAAAGGTCATGTACATCTTTTTGAAAAAACTAGTAGATTTGTCTAATTTCTGCTTGAAATTAATGAAAAATATACAGGTGTCACACCAACTACAGGTCACGAGAAAAATTGAATAAATTATATAGAAACAATTAATTTAATTTTAATCACAATTTCCTGTTGACAATGCCAAATTAATTCTATTTTTGCTTTCTCGCACTTTTACGTAATTGATATTAGAATTCTCAATGTATTCGAGTACATTAGTAGAGTCTGCCGACGGTACAATGTCATTCATCGTTCCTTCATACCTGAAACAAATAATTGTTAATAAAGTGGTGTGTTATTTCAGACATCATTTATAAAATTATAATATTGTTTATTTTAAGGTATCATGCAACCGTGGAGGGCAAGCAATACCCCCTAGAAACTGTATATGTTGTTGATAGCATATCCAGGTGATTATTTATTAATTGATTTCATTGATAAGATGGTAATTATTTATTCTTTGATTAATTTCAGAAGTAATATCCAGGTGATATATTTGGAATATTTATTAATTTAAGCGTATCTTTGAGGGCCTAGAGACCATTCTAATTTCTTAGATTTAATCTTAATGAATACCCGTGCGATGTTGTCGACTTTTATATTTTTTAATTATTTTATCATTATAATATCACTTATTATTGTTTATTTATTGTCTCTTTAATTGTTATTTATTTTTCGTGTCTTTTAATTAGAGACAATACTTGGATAGATTAAATCAGAAACAAGTCACTCGAAAACGTATATATTTGGACTCCATTATTTTTTTGTTTTTACGTGCACTACGTTTCGCGATATGATTTATCACTTCCTGAGGTACATTTCATGTCAATTACTATTTAATTTTTTTTCAGAAAATTAACTTACGAACTAGACAGCAAGATGAAACATTTTAGCAGGCTTTCTGATTTATTGCTCTCCGGAGCAACTATAACTGTTTAATTACTTAATGAATTATGAAGAGACTAATTATGGTTTTGTTTGGTTGTAAGTCTTCATTTAAAAGAAAATAAATCATTTAACTATGAATTTAAAATATCTTCGAGACGTGGAGAAAAATAATTTATATGCTTTCGAAACAAGCAACAGGGTTCCATAATGAACGCCTTAAAAGAAGTTTCATAGAACCACAACAATTCAAAGTGATCAACAGTTCCATTTATAGAAAAAATGGCGCTTTTTGGTAGAATTGATAATGAAATATTGTCCATTTTTGGCAGCGCCCATCGCTACATGCGCGCTTTGTCAGCGCTCATTGACTGGAATATGTTATAGATAGAAATGCGATACAATATTATTACTTAACTGTTACTATGGGACGAGGAAGTATGTGCTGTTTTATCATCAATAGTATCAGATTATTGGATTGACAATTCTCTAGGCTAATGAGAGTTAGTCTGAAACACGCACTCAGACTCGTATCCAGTTTGATATCCGCCCCACATCACAGGGCAACATCTGGCAAAAACATGACCTAGTAATCCAATCGCTCCAGTGATTCAAAAGCTTTGTGGGCAAACACAAAAGGCTCACCCACACTAATTTTTATTATAATACTTTTCAAATATAATGTTCCTCGAAGTTATGTTTTCGCATAAATATTTTATCACAGTATGGATTCACTGAAAAATAAATACCTGTATTTGAAAATCTAATAGCTTGCAGCAGCAAAAAGTTTCATGGACAAAACCACACAAAATGGTTTTGCAGAAAGTAGCACACAAGCTGCTACAGTACAATAAATAAAATACTTTCTTATAAGACAAAAATAAAATAATATTTTATAAATCGGTCTACACGAATACCGCAGTAACAATAAATAGCATTTACATATCAAAACATTTACTTATGAAAAAAATAGAAAACGTTGCTGACCTGTAACGCAACGCATAATAGGAAAGACGTGATAACAGGCAGCTTTTTCTTTTGAGCCTGACTGTCACCTGACGCCTGATATATCATAAGTAGAGACGTTCAGAGTGTAATAATTAAATGGGTATGCGCAATGTGAGATATATCCGAATAATAGTTTCATATTTCAGTCAAAATCGAAACTGTTTCATTGTGTACAGTGAGGTCTTGAGTTTCAAACAATATCCAGACATCACTCTCATGTTCGGAGGCTTCAGTTTTTTGAGCGCAATGAAAGTTAGTATAGAGAAGTTACTCTGAAGAGATCACTTTGACAGGTCTGGAAACACATTGTCATGCAGGGCGATGACATTGCAAAATGATGAACCCATTTAGAAATGAGCTAACTGTAAACAAACGCACTGACAAAATGAGTGCATTGACATAACAGCAGTTATATTGCCAGCAGTGGCCAAGCAGTAGCTGTCAAAGCGGCCCCTTCTTATACGAGGGTTGCCTTTTATTTTTCAGGATTAGAGAACAAAAACAAATATTAATCATAGAAAATCACTTCATTGGTTTTCAAAATATTCCCCATGAAGATCTATACACTATTGAATGCGTTTGAACCAATTGTCGAAGCACTTTTGCCACTCTGATTGACGTATTTCCAAAACATGCATTCTGTAAGCAGCAACCGCTTTTTCAGGTGTCGAAAAACGTTGACCTCTCAGTTTGTTTTTCACGTTCTGGAATAAAAAGAAGTTATTCGGTGCCAAGTCAGAACTATGCGGCGGATGACTCATCAAATCGATGTTTTAGGTGCACAAAAATGCAGTTGTTTGAGCCGATGTGTGAGACCTCGCATTGTCGTGGTGAAGAGTGATCCGTCTTCGGCGGTTGTTTTTCGTGATTTCTTGAAAGACAGCTGGCAAACAAATCGTTGTGTACCATTCAGAATTGACTGTTCTGCGTTGTTCTAGTGGTACGGTTACGACATGTCCAGTTTTTTTGAAAAAACAGGCGACCATCTGTTTGGAAGTCCTTCGTGCGCGAACAACTTTTGTTGGATTTTGCTCATCTTGAAACACCTATACAATCGAGTGCTGTTTACTTTCTGGCTCATACGCGTAAATCCACGATTCATCACCTGTTACGATGTCATATATGTGTTTTGAAGCACCGCGATCCTATTTTCTGAGCATTTCTTTCGACCAATCGACACGAGCCTTTTTTTGAGCGATTGACAAATTGTGTGTGATCCAACGCGAACAAATTTTTTGACAGTCAAATGTTCATGCTATATTAAATGTATGCTGGTCCCACTAATGCCTAAGATTGTCTAAATCTCACGATAGGTCACATGATGATCTTGCAATATCAGTTCACGCATCAATGGTTTTCGGAACAACAACTGATTTTGGACGACCTTCGCGAAATTAGTCTTGGAGTGAACTACGACCACAATTGAATTCACTATACCATCGATAAACACTGGTCCTTGATGGAGCTTCATTGCCAAAAATTGAATTAAGTTCATTCATGCACTGTTGCCGAGTTAATCCACGTCGAAAGTTGTAAAAAATGTTGACGATTTAATTCCATTTTTGAGCCAAGATGAATATTTTAAGTTACTGTAAACAACACAAATAGCGCTTGTATATCAAAACGTTCTGAGTACCTATAACCTCAAAACATCCAACTTTACGATAGAGCTGTCAGTTGCCAGATTGCAACACCAGGGTTGCCAAATCCCGAAACATAAATGGTAACCTTCGTAGCAACCTCCCTACACTACGGCTGGTGTGTTGTTGCAGGAAGCCGCTGGGCGCGCTGGCGGGCGGCGCGCGGCGCAAGAGCGGGGGCGGTGGCGGGGGCGGGGGCGAGTGGCGCCGCTTCGCGCTGCTGTCGGCGTGGGCGTGGGGCGCTGCGGTGGCGCTGACGGCGCTGTGCGTGGCGGCGCACGGCAACGCGCAGCGGCTGAGCGACGCGGGCCTCTACGCGCCCTCGCTCTTCGAGACCAGGACGTGCTTCTTCGAGGTCGTCTACACCGAGCACCTCCGCCACGGTAACTTTGCTTCCGACCGCAGCCACATGCTCTGTTTGTCAAGGAACTGTTCCGATGTTCGCCTGGTATTGGTTGGAGTTACACTACCAATCAGACTAGCCGACGGATAGACTTCGTCATCAGATAATGGGTGAATTTGCCCTAACAACGTCCGGGAATGGTGACTCAGGGCATGGAATGAGCCAGAGAGCTAGGTCGAGTTTTGTCGCTGTCTGGAGGAGAATTCTAGCGACCGGATGCTCAGATCGGTAGTTTTCTGAGGGTTCTCCTATCAACACCAGGCAAATGCCGGAGTAGTACCGTAACAATCTGGCCACAGACGGCGCGAGATCTTTCCTTTCTCTTGTACTATCTTCACCCCTTACACACACTTGCACTACACAACCACACATACCGGGTACATAGGGCTTGTCCCAGCTGGGGCGGTGCCGCGCTTGGGGGAGATACCTGGAGGGGGAAATCCCTCCAACCTACGGTAGCTCACCATCCATCGGCAGAATATCACCATTCTCTGAGAAAACATACACTACACTTACGAGACTAATGACCTCTGCCGTTGGCACGGCCGATATCACTAACCCCCAACTAACCGTCGGCCTTGGAACGTAACAAAGGTAAAAAATTCGCCGCCGTCGAAAGTGGAACCCTAGCACTTTCCTTTGGCAGAGGGAACTGCGCTGAGGCCTCACCAACTATTCACCTCCGTCGCTGGATGCTACCCAGCGTCAGAATTTGGAAGTTTTGGATATCTATTGAAACATCTAGAACCCTAAGAAATACGGCCGAACTTTTGCTCACGCCTTTTGGACTTTGCCATTTTACATTTGATTCTGATTGCCTTTTCCGCAAATGTGCGTGGAAACTAAAAGATTGAAACTGGCTGCGAGGGGACCTCTTGGATGGTTTATGGGCAGCGTACTAGCTTCCCATGATGTAGTTCCGGGTTCAATGCCCAGACGTGGCAAAATAGCACAGTAGCTTTTCTTTAAAATCGCACCAGTCTCTGTAGCTGAGAAAAGTTCAGGCAGGCGGATCGTGCTAGTTTCAAGGGAATACGCCATGTTTGCCGTATATCTCTCTCACCATCAACCATGGGAATTTAACTAAACCCGGGCATTGGAAATATATATAGGGTGGCGGCAAAGCCGGACTATGGACCCAAAATTCCAAATACATACAATCTGGCAGGGCTCAACACTGAGGGGAACGGTGTGGAACGCTCAAGATTCGGTAGCGCCGATTATTTGGACCGGCTGATACAACTCTGTGCAGCAGATGTTGCCACTGCCAATGGAAGGTCCTAGGGTGGAGGTTTCCATGCTAGCAAAGTGTTGCCACCAGCTGCGTAGCAATACCCTAACCAACACGTCGCGGACCAGGTGCGATATTGTCTTCCTTACATTTCTCTTTCCTCTCATCTTAGACACAAACACGCACATCCATTGACTTCACTGCCTCTTCCTAACACGCGCGTTTCGTTTATTTTTATTTAGAGTATAAATCCTTTGCAATCCTGTAGTGTGTTGAAACAACGTGATCTCAGGGCGATTATTGTGTTTTCGTATACGTGACAAATGTAGCAACAATCTTTGTCCTCTACCTCCGAAATATTCAAGTAAAGAATTTGTTCGGAAAGTAGTGTTCTAAAGATTGTACTTCCTCTTCTGGGTCAATGACTCAGAGGAAAAATTGTTAACAAAATATATTTATATGTTTAGTGTTTAGTGTTATTAAAAGATTTTGTTGGAAGAACTCACTGCAATTCCTTAAAAACAACATTTGAGGTAATAAGACATCTTTACTTGACAGTCACCTTTTCGCTTTTCTTGATAGTCACGAAGATATTTGAAAAGCTTTTTACTCTCAAGAACGCTACGTAATGTCATACCGTTGCACACACCTAGTGATAAATCACTATAATATAATATTCTATATGATAAAAAACCTAAATAAAAAAATAATTTGAACGTTATTTACATCAGAAACGAGAGCGCAAATCATTAATCTGACCCTAATTGTGTGATATCTACGTACTTTTCTTTCACTTTCAAGTGTGAAATTTAAAATTTTGCTCAAAAGTTGCTGCGAAACAGTTACACTAGTTAAAATTATATAGTTATTTACGTAACAAGGTCACAAAACAGGCGATTCATGCGCGAGCGTAGCGATGACGGCGAAAAAACGAGTGCTAGACAATTTTTTTAACACGCGTGAGAAAAACTCAAAGCATCAGGTAAAGGAATAAAAATTGAATATCAAATAACTTGAAATACTTTCTTGTACAAAAGTAAATGGATTTCTGGCAGAGTGATGACACTATTTTTTGTAAATAATAAACAAAGACTTCGTCAAGAGGAAAGACAATTGCGTACCGTTAGAGTTATTTTACACACGCATAGCAATGTTTCGCGCATTGAAAAAATACTGATTCGCACACGGAAAACAAGAACGGAAAATAGCGTTTCGCGCATGGCGTGTTAAAAATGACATCTTCTTTATTGCTGAATTGCCTCGTGTGCGGTCCAGGCAAGGTGAACAAGAAGGACGACCTGGGCGCCGTCATCTACTTCTACGTGCCCATGGGGCTGCTGGTGGTGGTGAACGCGGCGTGCCTGGGGTTAACCACCTGGAACATCCGCTCGCTGCAGAAGGAGGCCAGCCACGTGCAGCGCACAGGCACCAGCACAGCCCCCGCCATGCGCAGGTCAGCAAAGGCATGCTGTTGGCGGAGGGCGAGATGGAGTTGTGAGTGTGTCTTTATGTCTAGGTCTGTGGCGTACGTTAAGCTGCTGATGACGTCGGGGGAAGTGGAGTTGCATATGTCTGTGTTTCAGAGCTGGGCTGAACGAGAAGCTGCTAATGACTTTTGCGAGGTGGATCTGAGTGTGTGTCTGTGTGCCTAGCACTGTGTTGTACGTGAAGCTGCTGCTGAGGGTGGGCGTGGTAGAGATGACTGTGTGTCTGTGCGCCTAGCGCTGTGCTGTACGTGAAGCTGCTGCTGATGGTGGGCGCGGTGGAGCTGAGTGTGTGTCGGTGTGTGTAGCGCCGTGCTGTACGTGAAGCTGCTGCTGACGTCGGGCGTGGTGAAGCAGAGTGTGTGCCTGTGTGTGTAGCGCCGTGCTGTACGTGAAGCTGCTGCTGATTGTGGGCGTGGGGGAGCTGAGTGTGTGTCTGTGTGCCCAGCGCTGTGCTGTACGTGAAGCTGCTGCTGACGGCGGGCGTGGTGGAGCTGGCGGTGGAGGGCGTGGCGTGGGGCGCGCGCAGCCGTCGCTTCCATGGCTCGTCTGAGTGGGCGGAGGATTTCGCCGCGCAGAGCGCCTTCGTCTTCGCCATCGTGGGCACCTGCATCGACGTGGCGCGCGCCGCCGCCGTGCTCTGGCTGTGCGTGGGCCGCTGTCGCTGCGGTGACGTCCCCGGTGCTCAGTCGGTGAGCGCTGTTTTTGATTGGCTGCGTCGGGGCGTATCCAGTCTCTCGCTGCGGCGTTTCAGTCAGCCCGCGACCGCCTGCACGGCGCCTCCTGTGCCGCTTGTGGTCTTGGAGGACCCCTCGTCGTCGTCATCTTCTTCAGGTGCCGCAAACGACCCGTTAAACAGCGCCAGAACGAGTACGACTACTCTCGCGGGCTCTGTGCAATCGCTCACTACCTCTTAGCAGTCGCTTAGCAATGGAGTGATCAATGCTTTGTCAACTTTTTTCAACGTTTTTTACTTCGATTTTTCTATAGTGGACGATGACATTAAGTCATTGTAACACCTCCTGCCTTATAACGTGAACATTTTTATCAGTGGTAAGAATATTACTGTGGCCATGAGCCCCGTAGAAAAGAATGTTCGTGAATGAATTAAAAGATTTCTAAGTCAGAAAATATAACAATAACCTAATGCCATCGGCCATGGCATAAAAATGTCAAAGTACATACAAGCAGTTACTGTTTATTCTTTAGGACTTTTATAATTAGAACCGTTCCTCTCTGTAAGTAATGTTTTCAATTTTCAGTGCTTATCAAATATTTACAAAACCTTTCGATAATGCCCCATACCAAATCTCGTCGTGAAATTGTATGAGTTTCTTCGAGCCTCGCCAGCATAAACATCTTGAAATCTAATTTTAGTATCTGTAAATTTACGTTTAAGTTGAGCATTCGAAGCGTCGTAGCGAATGAGTAATTGATTTTTCAAAAAAGGACGTGGTCCTCTGTATCCGCCGCAAGTTTCGTTAATGTTCAAAATTGATATGCTCTTGCCCTGCCCACGAAACTGCAAATATTGTAACACAAACGCGAGAAAAATTGTTGTAATATAACGATAAATATATGTTTTATTATTTGTCAGATATCCTCCAGAGTTATTGCAATTTATTCTGGAGTTTGCCGTTGACTTTTCCATATGGGGTTCCCCGGGAACCTGAGTGGAATGATTAAGCACCTTTTAAGAACGTTTCCACAAAATGTTCTTTTCCCTCTATTGTGTTCAGAGAGTTTTTTTTTGTATTGGCGAGTTTTTGAAAATATTTACGTCAAAATATTTTTTTTAAATACTTTGACTTCGCTTTTTCTAATGAAATGCTAACGTAAATAATTTCGAAAAAATCGAAGTCCGTTGTCTTTATTTAAAAAATTGTTCAACCGACTGTAAACAAGATATAAGAAAGCGAAAATTCTGATATTCTGTGGTTTCTGACCTCTCCGGATATATTTCATGTTCAAGAATGAAAATATTTCCAGCTAACTTCAAATGGATTGTTGTGAATTAAATTGCATAAGTTAAGTATATTATTTCAAACAAAAAATATTTATTTAGATCAAAAAGGAAAATCAATGCGTTGTAATTCTTCCTAAGATAAGTACCCAAGTTCTTAAAATATATTTAGTTTATTTCAATAAACGTAATTCGTTTCGTTTGTAAGATACGAAGTAGTCGTCGAATATTTGGCTGACTGTTACTATATAACAGAGAGGGCGTGCTCGCTTTCTACTAAGCGGCCTCGAGTCAAGTTTATAGTGTGCGTTTTCCTTTCAATATCCCAGTACATGCTGTGTGTCGATGAAAAAATTCACTTCTCAAGTTGAACAGACCGGAATACGTCGTGGGTATGTCTACGTGCTTACCACACGCACCTCCTTAATCCATGGCCGCGTGGCAGGGACGTTGTCGGTAGGCCTGAGCCCGTTCACGGGCTGTCGCGTCAAGTACATTCATGCAGTACAAAGTTACAAGTAAAAATCTTATTTGAAATTCAAATATTGCTACATACCACTTTGAATAAGTACTTCAGGTAGGATATGGGATATCAGAAGCGTTTTCTGCAGGAATTGTTTTCACTGTTTACAAACGAATCCTTTGGAATCATTGGTAATAATGGAACCCCTTTTGTACGAAACTGCAGTTACCATGTGCTATTGTGCAGTTACTATGTAAAAATGTATGTAAGTTTAATTTTGTGTGACACGATGCACCCCAGCTGCTTTGCCAGCTACTTTCTTAATTGTTAACGTATAGATTAAAGTAAAATGTTTGTAAGGAATGTAATTTTAGAGATACACTTTCAGATTGTAGAAATCTTCAATCACTCGGTCTTAAAGAAGGTAACGAACAACAAATAAAATAATTAAAGATTATAAGATTTGAAGATTCAGAGGTCTAGAATGATGAAGAGCCTGTGAAGATAAGACTCTAAAATCGCGACTTTCTGAAATTATTTGAGAGATTTGGAAATAATTATATTCATTCAAATGGTAATTCAGAACATTTTAAGAACAGTTTTGTAGGAATATTCATTATAATTTAGAAATTGAAGAGGTATCAGTGTCATAGTGCTCATTTGCAGTTACCAATTTATTTTGATACGTAATTTATTTAATTTATTTTTATAATGTTTTTATTTTGGCAGAACTGTAGAAATGTTGTTTATTATCTTTTGTATGTTGTAGTTTGTGTGAAAATTTCGTGTTCATAGATCGTAATAGATACTCTTTATATATTATAGATATTCTTTACATATTCTTAATACATATACTTTATAAATACATATTCAAGCAAAATATTTTTCTTCGCTTTTCCTAAAAAGCTTTTTATTATCACACATTTGTTTCTTTTTCAAACTTTCATGTGCTTCTGATTCTTAATCAGACTAGCCTGCAAATATTGGTTGTGTAAGTAAAAGCTAGTAAGTTAGAGCTAAATGTACGGCGTGTTTTGCATTCAGATTTCTACCTTCTTTTGCTAATCGTCATTTGATAATGCCCTTTCCGGAACGTCCGTCTCCCTCCGCTTTTACGAGAGTCTCTTTCCCTCTCTGTTCTGTAAATACCAGAGGCCACCCGTTTTTATACTAGCTCTTGATACGTTTCTTATATTTCCGTTGGCATATCAAATTTGTATCCAATATTTTAATGTTCTTTGCTCCATCATTAATTACGAACTTCCCTTTATTTCATAAATCATATTTTCATAATAATGCTGCCTCTCTAAATCTCTTTGTTCATTGGATACAGTAGTTATTGAATTTTGTCTTACTTTTACAATGTGGATTGAAATTATGTTATTTATTGTTTTTACTTCAATGAGTTGCATTACGAGTATTACGGGTCTCGAAAAAAATCGATATAACGTGTTTATAAAATTGGTTTTCTTTACTTGATTATTGCATGTAAAGACCTTCTGTAATGTTTGTATTCATTTTGTAAGTAATTTTTAAATGTCCTCCACGAATTATTGTGTTCATGCCAGTTTTCTTTCATGGTCCCACGTAATTGTTTTTAATATATGAAAATTGCTTCAGTTGTACATTAGCTGTTGTGGTATCTGCCCAATTATTTTTTTCAAAATATTCAACAGTTTTCCATAATTCTGAAAACCAAGTGTTATGTGTTTCTTTGGCTCATCTTCCCATTGTTTAACTCATTTATGTTTGAGCCAGTGGATAGTAGGATAGTTCCTAATGAAATGTAAGAGTAAAATGTAAGATGTCTATGGAAAATAAACGGGAATAACAACACTAATTTATTTATATATTTATTAAAATAGTCTGAATGTATTTAAAATTACACAAAACACATAGATTTTCGTGTATTTTGTATCAAGTGTCGATACCAATTGATATGAGGTTTGTTACTGTTGACGTAATCTTTGAGCCCTCGCTTCTCTAGTTGCGAGAGAAAAGGTGAGTTTGGTTATTTTGTCAAAAAAGAATTTTACATAGAATTTGTAGTTATTTTGGCCGTACAAAATAGTTTCTATTACACTGGTGTAAATATTTCTGATTATCGCCCGTTGTTATAATTTATTCTCATTTCAACTAATGCTGGCAAAGAGTGTGGGTTGGTATTTCGGAGTACAAAGAAATCGCGCGAGCTGAATACTAAAGGCTGTATGACTGGTATTTGAGGGTGAACGACGTCCTCTTTTATTCGGACGTTCCTCCTTTTTATATTTTCGTTCGGAATTAAGGCGATTTTTTTTACTCTCATACTAATTTTTGTAATTTGCTCGTCTAAGAGCACGGTATTTTGAAAAGATTTATTTTGAATAATGTTTACACTACTACTTAAGGTGGAAGCACTATCACCGGAATATTCTCTCTTCTCTGTGCAAATTGGGAGGTTCACTCATTCTGACCAACCAAACTCGTTGTTTGTTGAACTTGTTGTTTTGTAAACAGTTGGATATTCTGTCGAGGAAGGAAGCACACGGATTTTTTTTGTTTTCGTAGACATATATTTGCTAACGCTATATTGTGAGAGTTTAAAATGCCAAAGCGGAAATGCAAAATTTACGATGCCCTAGTCAGCAAATATCCTGCATTCAAATTGCGAAGGAAGGATTCTGAATACGAAAGTAAAATTTTATTATCTGAAGTCTGCGTCTGTATTTTAAATAAAGGAATCCCTTAAATAAAGGTATGTAAAATTGCTTTAATCTGCAGAAATACTTCTATAAATATTCAATGTAACATGTTTATACACAGTCTCATATATTACATTGATATTTAAAATATGGACTGTCCTCATTTTTCACCTAATGTCTTCCTTTTTTAAGCCTTATCCTCTTTTTCATCGATGAGGGGCTGGTCACCCTAGTATTCACACCAAACATCATTTTGATTCATCGCATCCTATGATGCCTTATTGAGTGGAGTAGTGATACACAATCTGCAAAAAGAATAATATTGATTAGAAACATTAACACGTGAACGGGCAGCAATTGAAAAATTCCCCAATCTCGTAGTGTAATTAGAGACTTATTCGTAAATGACTATTATATTCCATTAATAGTGTGTCTATAAAATAATTTTTGAATTTTGATAAATATTCTTTATTATTTCTGCTTGCTATTTTCTGCGTCTTATTTTTATTTATTAAGACGTTATTTATTAAGAGTTTATAACATACATTTTACTCAATAATACTAACATTTTTCGAGATATGGGTTTCAAATGTTGAAAAAATGCAAGCAAACCACGTTCCTCGATGTGTACATGGCAAGCTCGCAGGAAGATGGTCCAAGATTAGTTTCATGGGTAGATTTGGAGAAATAACTGAAAAATTAACTGAACAATTAGATTGCACCATGAGTTTTCTATTTTTTTTAAGTTATGCAAGTGTTAAGTGAGTAATTTATCTGATAATGTGCCTACAAAACATATTCTACAGATATTTCGTTGCAAGATCAAAACTCCTCACTGGTCTTTCGAGATGTGTGTTAGCGTAGTACACGTACGTGTGTGTGTGTGAGAGAGAGAGAGAGAGAGAGAGAGAGAGAGGGGGGAGAGACAGAGAGGG